TATCTTTATTTCTATGAACTTCTAGTTGAAATTTTTATTTTCCTCAGTTAAGATCATAGGCGACAAATCCCAACAGTATTAACAGTACCTGACTTTGTCATTAGTAAAAAGAACAGATATATTTATAAAATATTACAGCTATGGGAAGTTTCTTAATAGACAGTTAAGCTCATCAAAACTTTGAAATTATGAGAGTACAGGATTTGCTGTCAGATGTTTATATTACAATAATTTAAAAGTTTGTAAACTGTATTTCAGTATAATTGGCTTCTTTCACAATTCTGTGTTCTATACTGAGGAGGAATCCATGGGCAGCACCACAGGGGCAAAGGATCCACGACTCAGAAAAGGCTAATAATTCCTGTCCGGGCTGCCATTTTCATTCAGTAGGGGCAATTCTGTTTTCTGTTCATCAAGTATCTACAACATTGAATATCATGCTTAGATTAAACCATTAAAAATATTTGCTAAAGGAATGGAGAATGTTTTCTAGATGAGTAATAACCAATATCTCCTTAACCTGTGACGTGAACAAGGACTTGAGGAAAATCAATTTAAGTCTCTTTGCAGCAAGAGCTTCATGCAGAGCATGCATTTCTTAAAAGTTAGGTATTATAGTTCAGCTTTACTTCAAAATAGTAACAGCATTTATTGAGTCTTCCTAAGTGTCAGATACTATTGTTCTAAGTGCTTTAGATATATTATCTTATTAAATCTAATTCATAGCAACTCGCCCCCCGCCATGAACCAGGTGCCATTATTATTGCTGTTTTACCAATGAGGATGGCTGAATACTCATCTCAAGCTCACACAGATAATAAGTGGTTTTAATGTCCAGCGCTTACTCCAGCCCTGACACTGGCACTCGGCCACAATCGCATGCTCAGTACTTCTGGTTATTCAAGAGATCAGCATGCTAGCTGCACACAGTGGCCAATCGGTTCATATTGTTATACTGAACCAATGCCAGACTCAGCTGAATTACAAAAATAGAATCATCTTGTGACTCTGTTGTGCTTTTTTAGCAAATAAAATTTAAGGCATTTTAAAAATGAATCCCTTGCCCTAATTATTTTCCCATTATCCCTGAGGTTAGTGAAAGTGAAAGCACCTTCTCCCTTTGTTTCATCAATGGAGGAAACAAGAGGGCTAATGACTCAGGCTGTAGATGGCAGCTCATCAATGAACCACTTTGGTCAGGGGACACGAACGAAGATTTAAAAATCCAATTTATGGTCTGACTACCCCAAGGGATGATACTCTAAGACAGGATAACATCTCTTACCAGCTGGTGACTGCATGTAAAGATATTGCAGCAAAGAAGGCTCTTTGGTGCCTTCATTTTCTTTTGAAGGCTTTTCATCCTCTGTATTTCTTGGAGTATTTCCCCGCTCGGAAGAAACAAAGTTGTTTGCCATATCCTTTCCTGAAACTTCCTTTTCAGCAGGGAGTTGGCTATTCAAGTGCATGTCTTCAAGGGGCACACATCCCCTGTTACCCACGGTCTTGGAAGAGGCAATGTCTGTGGACTCTGAGGGTTTCTAGACACAACCAAACCAGAAACGCAGGTCAAAATCCCAGTAGCGAATTTTAATAACAGCTTTCTCAGAACAGCTAACACATGAACAAAAAGGTCAGACGTAACTGTGTGCCACATTGATTTGCCTATGTTGGTTGTTTCAGTCATATTTATAGAAATGGTCTGAAAATCAATGTCACACTTCAAGTGTAGAAACGATGGAGTTTTTTTTTTTAATTTTAATTTTTCAACTAGAGTTGACATTCAGTATTATTTTATATGATGGAAATTTTCATAATGGAAAACCGGCCATGGTGTTTGGATTGTGAAATAAATTTCTGGGCTGCAAACACAGAAAAGGTGTCAATACCACAGTCTTGTAGGGGCCTGATAAGAACTGCAGGGAGACCCAAAGCCATCTTGGTTATCTAAGGCGTATACCAGTCAGTCATTCACTTCTGTTCTGTAACCTAGGCTATATATAAAATTTGAATTCACTCTGGCAAGAGAAAGAAATAGAGGCGAAATGGTCTTAATTAGTGGACCGATTTCAATGAAGTATGCCTAGCTGACTCACTACAAACTGCTGTAATGACGGTGCTTCTGCTTTCTGAGTTTCACTGGTCACATCTCATTAACTTCTGAATGGCTACTAAGCTGGAGATGTGGACAGCTCATATTTCTGTTCTTTTCATTTTGTGGCTAGGGAAATAAGATCTCTAAGCAGAGATGAGAACTGACCACACACAGACACTAAAAGCCATATAGCACCCATAGTCCTGACTCTGGAACTCAGCTGCATCCTGGATTAAGATGATTATTTCACTGATCTCAACTTATTTAAAAAAGAAAGTATAGCAAAAAGACTGGGAGGAAATATACAAACATGTTAAGAGTGATTGTCTTTACGTGGTGGCATAATGGGTAGGTTTTTTTCCTTTATACGTTTTAGCATTTTATACGAAATATGACTTTTTAAAAAATCACTTACTTTTCTTACAGTACTTATTTATGGCAAGATGTTTTTTTTGAGAGATAGTCCAGGGCTTAATTATACAAGTGACACACGAAATACTTCATATTCCAGACTCAGTAGCTTATTAATGTTTGCGTGTCCTTATTAGGAAGAGGCTCTGCGTTAACAGGACGTCACTAAATGTGTCCACCTGAACTCCCTTACCTTGGGCACAACAAGGAATAGAGGGCCATCTTCATAGTCCCTACTTTGTCTTTTAGTGGCTGGCTCCTCCTCCCCCTGAAGCTTCCTTTCCTCACCCAGGCGCTTCTGAACTGAGGGTGTGGATGACAGCTCTGCAGCTGCTGAGACTTCTGAGCTTCTGCTGTCCTCTGACCCTGACCCTGAGGGTGGTCCCTCCTGCAGGCTCCCGTACAGCATGAACAGCGAGGTGGAGGGCACGTACAACAAGGGCTGGCCGGACAACAGGGCTGGCTTCAGGCTCTCCACGTCTGAGGCTGTGGAAGCGAGTGAGCCACCTACTTGTCCATTCAGACCATTCTGTACGAAGAAGGACTGCAAGTCCGTTTGAGGCCCAGAAAATACTTGGTGAGCTAAGGGATTAATACAATATTCTGAGTCAACAGAGTGGACAGGGAAAGGAGCAGCAGGGTCCAGGCTGCTTGCTGGAGGCATCACTCTGTTTCTCTCAAAGGCTTTCTCCCTGTAATAAAAAGAAACATAGTGGGTTCTATTGAGTTACCACATTCTACCAACTCCTGACTGCTTTCCTGGAGAGAGACATACCAAAGTAGGAGTGAGATCATGCTTCTCAGGCTGATATTAAAGTGTACTCCCTGAGTCCATTATTAGCTCCCCTAACCCCAGAGGGAGATGACCAGATATAACCAGGATGGATGGTTAGGGATGGGGTCGGGGAACTGATGTGGGAGGAGCTCTTGGAGGATTTCAGGTTAGAGCTAATATTGGCTCCTCCCCAGCCTCACCCACATCTAAGTTATCAGTTACCCAGCATGTACCCTTTACCAGGCACATAGATGCTATAGTGATTAGCATAATATTATAATACTTTTACAAAATTATAATATTGATAGCTATTCTCATCGTCCCCTCAGTTACTAGAGAGGAAAACTGAAGCTCAGAGGCTAAGCAACCTGCTGAAGGTCACCCAGCTGGGCCCCACACGCAGTCACTGTGAGGGATCCTGGGTACGTAACAGAAACTGGACAAGACTTTGATTTAAAGGAATTATCTATTTTGTCTCAAATCTGCTGTGAGATAAATTAAGTTGGCAGTGAGTGAGGAAATAAACTTATCTACAAAATTATTATTTTCTGTCATTCTTGTCACATTCTGCTCAGTATAATTTCAGAATTTTTAGGCAGTACACATTCAAAATTAAGGTTCATCAATATGTGAGATTATGAACAATGTCTGCACCTTTTATACAGAAAAATTCCCAAATATTAAAAAAATCATGTGTATCTATTTAGTATATTTTTGGAAACTGATGGGGCAAATCTTTTTCCGACTAGTAAACAGAGGGCAGGGAATTCTCGCAACCTTTCTGTTGGAACTGTTGAGGCCTATATTGCCCACAATCTCGTTGTCCACTGTGTTGTGGGAATAAAATGGAATGCGCCAGGCTGCGGAGATGAGTAAATCTCTCAACCCCAGCCCCTTCTGAATGGATAATCACTATTACTCAGCTCTGTGAAACTCAATGGGTCCACACTGAGTATATCACCCATCGTCCTACATCCAGCCATCCACCTTCGACCTCCCTATCTCTACCACTATCACCATCATCTGAGACCCAGGTGTCCTTTGTGATGCCTCTTTCTCATTGAGTAGGTCTTGCTGACTCACTGTCTTACACTGATTTCCATCTCCAGCTGACCCAGCCAAGGCCTTGACCACAGTAGCCTGCAAACGCTCTTCGCAGTGCTCTGTTCACAGGGAGCCAGCCCTTCTCTACTTCCAGTTTCACCTGCGTCAAGCAACCAGAATGGTCTTCTCCAGCGAATCTATAATAGTTCTTCACCGTCTGTCTCATAAATCTAAACTCTTCTACTTGGCTTTCAAAGCTTTTGACAACCTAACCTACCTCAAACTGCCCAAGCTATTCTGAATGATATTTCCTTTTACTATCCTATTAGGACAAATCATTAGAGCTAGTCAGGCTATTGTCCCCCCACTCCCTGACGCTGCCTCAGAATGTGTTTCTTCTCATATCTGTCATTAAAAATCTCTTTTGTTCCCTCTTTTGCATTTCCTCTACTTTCTCTGATAACATGTGATTTCCTTCAAAATCTGATCCCAAATTTGAGTCAGATGATCTTGGTTTGAATATCAGCTCTGTCACTTATTAGCACTGTGACCTTGCTTGGGCAAGTTACTTAACCGCTCTGCATCTCGGTTTCCTCTCTGTTTAATGAGGGTTAACAGTACCAATCTCAAAATGTTGTTGTTATGATTAGATGAGTTAATAAACATAAAACTTTTGGAATAGTACCTGGTAGTTCATGTTACAACAAAGGATTCATGAGACTGTGATGCATCATTTCTCAGCAACACATTAGCAGTGATTTGTCTTTTTCAGTGTATTTGTTTTTTTATTTTTTCTCCTATAATTTATCCCTTAGGGGATAAATTTTTCACACTTTTGTGTCTCTGATGCTACATCTTGCACAATATTGGCACAAAGAGAAAACTTACAAAATTCTTAATAAACGAATGGCTGCCTTATAAGCAATTTTGCTAAAATTTACATTTTGATGGGTAGCATTTCAATTTAGTCAAAGTTAACATTCAGAAATAGAAAAGAATGCGTTTGGAGTTTTTAAAGACTACTTACTTTGAATCGTCTTCTATTTTCTGTCGGTAAATTGCTGCCAGACTTCCAATTTCTAAGAAACTACCTGATCCGGAAAAGGAAAATGAAGGTCTCACAAATATAGCAAGAAACATACAAACCAATTATATACAGCAGGATTCACTATTCACAGCTCAGGAATTATAAGACAATCTCAAATCTGTTCTGGTTTGGATTCAAAAAGAAAAATTTCCAGAAGCTAGCTGTTAATGGTGAATTCAGGTCTCATCAAGAATTAGTAAGAAAACAAAAAATAAAACAAGTTTTGATTTGTGAGTCAGATGAATTTTTGAGATGTATCAAACAGGGCATCCGTGGCAAGCTAATTGATCTTTAAGGCTGACTGGGATCAATTTCAGGCATGGCCCATGTTCATACCCTGTGAAGTCACCAACTCATTTATTCTCAATAACGGTTTCACTTCAGGTAAGTACAAAAACAGGTAGGGCCTACAGAGTCAGCTCATTTCAAAGTGCCAGTGGATAGGTAAGGCTACAATTACATGGGGACTGATGAATTCCATAGAGTAGGTAAAGGCAGATACCTCGTTTTACTCTGAATGGGCTGCTGGGTTCCGAGTTCCCTTTCCTCTGAATCCTCTCAGATGTCTGAACTGTGTTAAAAGAACCATGTCGAGCCAGCTTCTGTTTTGCACAGACTTGAATCTCACTATATGTTTCTCTTTTCAATTCTGGTAAGACAGATGCAGAAATATCTGCTAGTTCTTCATCTAAATAAATGAGAGATTTGGTACTGTTGTTATACATGGCTATAATGCAACATAATTTTAGCCTTTTTAAGATATGTCTTTGAGAGCCTATAATTATAACGGAGCTACCCTATCCATTAAAAACTAAGACAATCAAAGAAATTTTATGAGCCTTGTCTCAAACCCCAATTTCTTTTGATGTGCTAACTTTTTTAAAGTTAGTGGATGACTATAAAGTGAGACTGAATCCATATATATTCTAAAATTATCTAAACTTCAACAAAAGTAGAGCAAGATGTTCTTCAACCCAAATTAGAATGGACTTTACATTTCAAATACTTTCTTTGGGCTGAGAGTATCAAAGAAAAAACCCAACCATGCTCAGCCCAACATGCATATTTTGAGATTTTAACATTAATTGAGACCTCTTATGGCCACAGCTCCAAGGCAATGAGTATAAGAATTTCCATTTTCTACTATGTTTTATTTTTTCTTTCTTACACAGTAGGAGGCTTAGTTACTAAGTGACCAAAGGAAGAGGTCAGCAGAAACCTCATGGATGAAATGCTGCAGAACAGTGATGATAATAAAAGGCTGGGCCTTGGAAGCCCATTCTGTGCTTAAAGGAGCCTGTGTGAAGTCACGACAGAATTTTCTATATAGAACCAGGCCTATATTTCTAAATATAAATAGTCCCTGTTGCTTAGTTATTCCTACACTGTTTATCTCTGCTATTTTTTTCTAACCTCAAGGCATGCACATTTAAATAAGATGTTTAATAAACTGAAAGGCCCAGCTACGCTTACATTCTATAAAATGCACAAAAATTAAAAAGAATCAGGTTTATGGTTTTCTATTTCTTCTCACAAAAACCCAATATATGTTATTTTTAGAAAATCAGAAATTACAGGATGAAAAAGAAAATAGATCAAGACAGTAACAAGAATCATAGTTCCCCTCCTTCCTGAAACAATACATTGGGCAAAATATATAAGACAATGGCTCTCAAGACATTGAACATCAGGGCATGAAGAATGCTGACCCTTAGAAACAAGAATCAAGAGGGGTGAGCTCTCTGATTGCCCAAGGCTTACTGTCTGGAGAATGTTTCCAGATTGGGGTGAGAGAGGGAGCCCTAGACAGAGCCTGGAAGCCTTTCCAAGTTGAGGATGGAGCTGGGAGGCCAGGAAAGCCAAAGCAGCTAGAGTTTGTAGGGCAAAATACTAAAGAGGAGAGCTGTACAGAAAGAGAATGCTGGAGATCTGCAGAGGGTACCTCTTGAGTATTTAGCAGAGTACTCACACACGTGAGAAAACTAAACTAG